GCGAACCTTCCCGAGCATCCTTAATGTGCTCCTTCGGGCAAAGATTTGGATGCGCTCTTGTTCGCTGACTTGAGGCCTTCAAAAAATTGGCGTGGTCAAAACATTTGATGTTGGGCCCCACACGGGTCAGAATGTTTATGTAGAGCCAAAACAACGGGTCAGAATCCTGGGCCCTTGATTGAAGGGTCAGTGTTTGATCCCCTTGAGGGCGGAACACGACTTTGAACGGGAACGCGATTTTTCTGGATGCCAAAGGAGCCCGCCACTTACGCTTAACATCAACAAACATTCTGACCTTCAACAGGAGTTTCACTCTTCACATCAAGCATTCCGAGCCAGAAGGCCAATAGGGCCCACGCTGAACCACCACGCTGGGCAGCGAACACCCTGACCCCAGGCTTTTTACATCTGACGGGCCCAGCTTGACATGAAACATTCTGATCCCTCAGAACGACGCTTTAGATCAAACATTCGGATTCCTGAGAAACTTCAAATATTGACATCGAACGTTCTGACCCTTCAAGGGGCCCAGACTCAACCTCACTCAGATTCGGACCGCTCAAAGACCTGAAGATTATCTAACATTCTGACCCCTCGAAGGGCCCGCCAGGGTTTAACAAACATACCCTGTGCCTCCTACAATCCTCAAACATTCTGGCCCTTCGAGGTGACATTCTGAACGCTCAGAGTGCCCACGCTTAATAGGCCCAGGTTACATCAAACATTCTGACCCTTCAGGGGCCCAGGACTAACATCAAACGTTCTGACCCCTCGAGGAGTTTATGAGAACATTCTAAGATTGAACGTTTTTGACCCTTCCAGGGGCCCCCTCGAGGGGCCCAGGCGTCAAAATGTTTGACTGCAAGGGTCGAGCGGTCAGAATGTATGATGCTAAGCATGGGGCCCTTGAGGGGTCAGAATTTGGCCTGGGCCCTCCGAGTTTAATGTTGAGCCTGGGCCTTCAAGGGGTCAGAGTGATGTTAAGCGTGGGCCGTTTCAAGGGGTCAGAATGTTTCGTGCTAAGCCTGGGCCTTCTGTTTGACGTTAAGCGGGCCTAATGTTCAGCCGGGCTCTTCGACAGGTCAGAACGTTTCATGTTAAACCTGCCCCTTGAATGCTTGGAATTTCTGATGTAAAGCCTGGCCCCTTCGAGGGGTCAGAGTGTTTAATGCTAAGGAATTTGTTGTTGGTCCTGGACCCCTCGAAGAAGGGTCAAAACGTTCAGCGCTTGCAGGCTTAACATCAATGGGCGCAGTCTTAACATGAAGCATTCAGACCTTGAGGGGCCCAGGCTTAACATGAAACATTCTGACCCCTCGAGAGGCCTGTATGTATGTATGTCCTGAGGGGTCAGAATGCCCTCAAGGGGTCAGAATATTTGGGTAGAATATTTGATGTTAAGCTTGGTCCCCTCAAGGTCAGAATGTTCAACGTTTTTCTTGAGCCCCTTGAGAGGTCAGAATTTCTAACATGCTCTTCGCAGCGTTCCGGATTATCGTTTCGCCTTCTTATCTTTTCTTTATGTCACGCCTCTGTATTTCGGCGGGATCCTAATATTGTCTCACTTAGATTCAGGTTAAACTACACATGTGGGGTTCTCCAGTCGTATACTTCAGGGGATGATCGGGTACTCTTTACTAGGGTGTCTCGAGGGGGATACTAGGAATTTAGATTAATTGCAGCTCATATCCCAACCACGGACCCCTAAAATGGGCTTCTACCTGTAGCCAGCTGGATTTGCAGGCAGCGTTTAGGATTTCGGCTCCGGTTTCCATTTCAAACGGGGCACAAGGTTGGAAACTTGCGGTCCCTTCAAAGTTAACAAAGAGAGACATTGAAAGTGGGGGTATGGAGGGTTTTGGAATTACCTGGTGCAGAAGTGTGAATAATTACCCATATCGTTTTGCGGTCCACCCTGAACTGAAGGATCCAAGCATACAAATAATATCTACATTGCGGGGTTCTTGGGGTGAGACCGATACAGTGAATCGAAAAATCCCAAGATTTCTCAGGATGTCAGGCTTACTTCCCTATGAAACGACAATCGCAACAACCCCGAAAATGAACAAACCCATTGTACAGGTAGCACGGGCTGCCCAAAAAGTGGGATTCAGGAGGGTATTGCTTGACAAGTGACGTGTTTCCTGTGCAGATTGGACTTGACAAGCTGGCCTCAGGTTGTCCGCTGATGCAGGGATTGGCATCAGCGTGCGCAAATGTTGACCGAGGTCGTCAAACACCTTGGGTTCACGTTTGTCACACACCTCAAAAAAGAAAGGCGCAACAAATGTTAAGAGTGCTTCTTGCTATGACTTCGATGGCTTCATGATCTGTGGGAGTGCTGCGATCCGCCTCCTCCCCAAACCGAACAAAGACGCCGCACATTCCCAATCAGCGACCTTTCTTCTAATCCCTCATCTTCCCAACGCAGCAAGAAGAGCGCTGCTGGAAACCCGATAGCAGTTGATGGTCTTCGGGACATAGAGCTACTCCTATATGAAAGCAAATATGGATAGCGTTCATTTGACTCGTGAACGTAAGCCACTACTGCTCCTCATGTCAAGGAACAAGCTGGCAAGAGTAAACCAGTCGGGCTTCGGCAAAGCTTTGGCCGTATGACTCTGGCACCTCATTGCAGGAGCAAAGGAAATACCCAGACCCCCAAAGGAAATACAGTGTTCAGATTTTAGGGTTTGGGGTTTAGGGTTCACATCACCCGGGTACTTGATGGAGTCTCTTAGCAAAATGTCTGGTGTTCATTCTGGAACCACCAAGGGCCCAAAACCTTTAAACCCGCATGGATTGAGACCGAGATAATAAACAGATCCAAAAAAACCTTTTTCCCATTTTAGAAGCAGGGGGAACAGCTACAGAGGTTGTTTTAGTGAAGCGACGTGCCTTTCAGCAATGTAATTCATGCTGCGCCCTGGCAAACCTCACAAAAGTCTTGATCGAAAAAAGCCCAGGCGCGTTGATGCCTTCCCGCTGCGCTAATTGCAAAACACGTTGGATGCAGCCTAGCAGCATAAATAAATTCAAGAGAATGCATCAGGTCCAGAAACAAAGATGCCTGGGGTGCTGAAGCTTACAGTTCGGGCACAAAAAGCAGGTGAAGATATCTATTGCCCCTTAAGCCCAACCATGATTGAAGTTTAGCCAGCGCCACGGAATCAATGCCCTTAAGTGCTAAGCCATGAGAAACTACCTCGTGCACGGTGAAGAAAGTGCGCTGCGCGTCGCAAGCCGAGGCGAGGCAAGGAAGGCAGGTAATCCTAGGTTCGGATTTGGGCCAAAAAAGAAAAACTCACTCAAAGCGATGCAGCTCAAGCCAAGAGTCGCAACCGCTCAGCACACAGAGGTCTGGCAAGGTGTCCTGAGTTCAATCGTGGCTTGTCGGAACGAACCTGGACCCTGTCAAGCTCCGAAGCATCATGCTGGCCGCCATCACTTGAACAGCATGTTTGATAGGTGAACTCTTAATCCAAATCCAATATAATCTTTGTTCAAACATCTCCAAAAGGAAATAGCAAAATTCCCTCAATGATATCCAAATTCGAGTGTCGGGCGTGAGACGGTAAGGCGACAAAGTTCGACATTTGCCTCTGAAAAGAATTCGTGAATGGCACTTGTCAGAAAACCCTGACTCGCCGCAGACGCATTTCGTGTTGAAAGCATCAACCCTAACCAAACCCTGTTCAAACTCCATCAGGCTGCCTGCGCCGGGTAAACCCACCAGCCATTGGATGGTTATGCACACATACACAGGAGCTTGCCTTACTGGGCCGGGGCGTGAACGTAGCAATGGGGAAACAAAGGGTTGCATAACAGTTAAAACTCAATTGCATATCCACTGTGCAGCTCCCCTTCCAGCGCCAGTAACTTGCTGGTTTGCTCCTCACTGTCAAGGTTTAATGATGACAGCTACAGAGAATTGGAATGTATGTTGAGACCCGCAACATCCACCTAGGGTCTTGGGAGAATCATCCCCGGGTCCTCTCTGAAGGAACATGTCCCAGCCTATGTCAGCTAGTCGAACTTCCTGGCCGCAGCCTCTTCGAATGTCCTTCCAATTGGGATACCACTTCTGGTGTGCGCAGGGTTGCAGGCTTGCGCTACAAATTATGATCCTCTTCCTTGCGCTATGCTTTGCATGCTTATTGGTAATGTTTACTGTTCAGGATGAAAGAAGGCACCAGCAGCACATGCTGCCATCTGTTTCCCCATGTTGGCCAGAAGCAACACCTGTTGGAACAGAATCCAACTCAGCTACTCATGCTTTGAAGCCCTATGCCCTGCCACCCGCCAGCCCACATTCTTAAAAAACGGTGACATTCAGATGGCCCGGGCTGCCACCCTCGTTACATCCATTTTTTTGCAAGCGTCAGAAAAGCCCCAAAGCAGTCGTTAAGATTCTCAGAAATGCCACTACACTCAAAGCCATCACCGTTCTCACTGCTGTTTCATGTGTGAGTGCGATGAGTGCTGGCTACTGGTGTTCTGATTTTGAATCCACTTCCAACCGCAATCGCATGACAGGTGCCGCATCTCACAAAATTGTTGTCACTTTATGTTTTGCTTTTACGGCAATAGTTGTACCCTCCCTCTTTGTAATTGCATGCTTACCCTCATTGCTCCCACTAACGCTTAACTGTTGACGCCTGCACCACCAACTCCAACTTTGACACCATCACGTTGGATGACATCTGTAACAAAACCTTCAAGTCTACCACCAAAACAACGGAGAAACTCTCGCTTTTTGAAACACTGTGCAGGGGAGGGCAAGTCAACACCTCTACACAAAACAACCTCAGATCCCGTAGCACGCGGTCCAAGCCAAACAGAACTCTGGAACAGCCAAAGGCCAGGAGGTCAACATCTTCACTCACCTCTCAATCACCACAAAACTCGAATTTCGAGGTTTCGCCCTCCGGAGTGAGCGTTTAGGATTTGAGGGGGCAATGATTTCGTTAAACCCAAGGCTCTGGGCGATTGGCCGTGTTCCGGACGGCCCATACTGACACAGTTTTTTAAGGCCATGTAAGCACTAAGCACAAGGCTAAACAGTTGCTGCTTACCCGGGAGGGGGCATGTGACTTGCACGCCCCTGGAACGCGACCTCAGCAGATCTATTCTAGTCAATGTTGGTTTTGCACGTGCAGTACTACAAGTCCCTGGCAGATGCAAGCCGCTGACGAATTTCCATCATCAAAACATGGAGCTACCTCTTTTCTGAGAACCTTCATGCCAGCAAGTAACTACGACATCAAGGCGGCCAGAATGGGCAAGAAACGCGAGCTGCGCGTCAGCTTCACCTGACAAGACTTTCAAAAAAGTTCTGACGTAAGCAAAAACCTCCGGATGCTGCTACTGAGACCATCCTGCATGAGCGCCATGTCAGTTTAGCATTTTGAAGTTCTGGTTCACTTCCAAAGAACCTCACAGCATGCTCCTCTACTCTAATGTCAAATGCTCTGGGTGTGCCGTGCTAAGGGTAGGAAAGGACTTTCCAACCGATTTCCTCGTCAGAGCCTACCGACTCCCAAGACCAGAACCCCAGCAATGGACTCTCGAGGCCGCCGCTCAAAAATGGATCCATGAAAAGGGTGCTAGCAAGTTAGATCTCTTCAGTACAGGAATCCATTTTGGGGATTGCATCTCTTGCGTCACATAATCTTGAACCCGAAGCCGAGGGATTGTCTCGCAATGCATGCCAGTCGCAAGGTGCAACAATGCACTTGACTCCTTAGCTGCTCTTCACCGAGCCCCCAAAAACTTAAGAATCCCAAAGGCCTTGAACTGCTAAAGGTGTGGTAAACCCTAAAGCGTAGACCTTCCCGAAAAGGGCCAAACGGTTCTGGAGAATCCCACCAAGACTCCCATGGGCTTGAAGTGCTCCACGCACGTTGCTGCCATCTCCTATAAGTCAGGTGAAGCAACATGCCACTAGGGCATACTTGCTCAACGTATTCAGACCCTGGTTGTTTCGGGGGGTTGTCTAAACCATGGTTTCCTTATGGATTCCCGTTACAATAAGAGCTTATTGAATAATCTTGACCCACTATGTTGGGATGGTAAAGGAACGATCTGATTCATCCTGCGGGTTCGTGTAGAAAGGCACTCGTAGGAATAGGTTTGTTGCGTTCTGTCCTGGGCTACAGATACCGCAGCGTTATCCTTATACATTGGGGCGGGGCAATATCCCTGTAGCCTATATAAACCTCCCATTTCACCAAGAAAGTAGTCTGGACGAAGGCTATTCCAGGCCGGCTTGGAATGTGAGGAGATTATACACTGTCTCCAAAGAAGGGCTGTCATTGACCCTCAACCCCGCAACAACAACAACAACAACCCCAAAAACCAAAGTCTCAAATCTCCATAAACTGGATGATGCGAAGCTGAAACATCCCAAAACCCTACAGTGCAAGGCCAAGCATCCCTCAACAAACTCAATAGCGTAAGCCATCACGCCCATAGACCTTCACCAGATCCTGAAAAAGCAACTCTGATGCATGATATTTTCCCTAAATAAGGGGACCCAGGAAGGTGCCAAAACTACAAAAATCCATATTGTGGGAATCCTCCATCAAATAACCCTAATTTTTGGGAAGCCCCCACATATCCCTCCATTCTAAGAAGACTTCTTCACATAAACCCTAAGCCCCAAAATCTAAACCCTGAATCCGGAAAAGACTTTTGGAGTGCTACCCGATGGTCCGGCGTAATGTCCACGGCACCATAGAGTCGCTTGGCCTCGTTGACAACAAGTCATACTGTTCAAATACATGGGGTTCCCAAAATTAAGGTTCCACTGATAAGGCTTGTAATGCTTTGGGCCCTATATGCGGGATCCCCATATTTCGAGAAACTAACGAAATGTCTGTCCCCAAAATGGGCATAAGGTTCTCTTAGTGGTTACGATCCCTTGAAGGAAGTGTCGGGTCTATGAATTCAATTTATGGCCTGAAGCTTTTGGAGATCTGGCTGGATTCATCGTGTTCGGACTAAGGTTTAGGGCTTCGGGAATCTCACCTCTTTAGTGTTGCCTTTGGATTTATGGAGTTTAAGGTATTGTTCAACGTCTCTCTTCTGATTAATAGGCGAAAACAAACCCTAGCAAGCCTGATGCTAGTCTGCACAAGCCCCTCAACGGATCTCTGTGATTCTGCTGCCTTGAAACTGAAGAGCAGGTTCCTCAAGCCAAAAAACTGCAAGTGATCTCGAGCATCAGCCATTCAATGGTTGCGCACCGGAGATTTCCTTTCTAGTCTTCATACCAAAATGCCTTATTCCAGGGATTGAGGCGGGCGTTATTCAGAGCACAACAGATGGAGAAGAACTCTAGATCCTACGATTCCAAAAATTTAAACCATGTCCATCCGCGAAAGCCCAATATCCTCCAACCCCCAAAGTCCCTTGAGCCCCTGAACCGTGGCACCGCCCCAAGACTAATGAGTTGTTCTGGCGGGTAGTTGTTAGGTAGACTCTTTCTGCATACGGTCTTTATCTGGGGACAAAATTTGAAATAAAGAGCCGTGCCAAAAGCTTCTATGGCCAAACTACTCACCTAAAAATTCCACAGGGAAGATCCATTCTTAATTTGGGTTCCTAAACCATCCCCAAAAATTAGAGCCCCCAAAACGATGCAATTCGGAAAATGTAGGGATTATTGGGCGGTTCTACGTCTGGGATCCTTAAGGGGGTTGGCCCTAAGCCCTAATCCCTAAACCATAATCCCTTAACCCCAAGTCCCAATCTTTAGACCTAAACCCAAAAGCTAGTTTCCCAAAATAGGGACCCCAATATAGACCCCCTAATACTATAATCCTTATTAAAGAGACCCGCAAAAAGACACCTTTAATTTCTCGGAAGCCTCAAGCCCTATAGAACCCTTGTATAAACCCCATGTAACCCTTCATAGCTCCTTTAAAGGTATTCCTAAGCCCTAAACCCTGACCCACCCAAAAAAAAGCCTGAAAGGTAGCCGCGTTACGAGTCCTGCGCTCGATCCGGCAAGTGCTGCCTGCCGTGCGGCTTCCTCTCGCGCCTGCTGAAACAAAAAGTGGTTTAGGGTTAAGGGTACCTCCTTAGGTCTCTTTCAATGAATCTTGAACAAGATAGCGGAGGATGAAATGGAAAAGAACATGGACATTTTAATGAAAGCTACTATCTAGGGTTCAGGATTTGAGGGCTTGCGTGGTGGCTCTTTTGACTTAGTAGCTCCACTTTGTAATCCAGTGTTTTCGGGGGCTTGTAAGAGGGGTTATTGGGACTAGGAAGAGAGGGTCTTGGGGACGAGGCATAGAATTGGCGTACCATGATAAGAGAATTTTGGTAACTCCACCTGCCCAAATTAGGATTTGAAAAATGAGCTATCCTAATGAAGTATCTCGAATATTTAAGGCGTAAGAATATACCCTGCAAAGGACTCACAACAATGGAAGCCCCAAGATTTTACCTGGCTTGTCCGACGTCCGACCTAGCAACGAACCCTAAACCCTAGACCCGTTATCAGTATGTTCTTAGTACTTCTTTATTATTGTTATTTTTATCGCTATTATTCTAATTGTTATTACTAGTACTGAACATGAATATTGGTATATCACTATTTCTGGGCTGGGAAGGTAGAGCTCAGTGGCAGAACACCTTTTATGCCGGACGTAACTGTGTGGGTGGCAGAATTACCAACGCGGATCACGCATGTTTCCCTTTTTAAAGGCCTACCTGCAAGCTCTCGGGTCTTCGCAAATCAACACCTCAGATAATCTCTTGTTGTAAGCTCCATGAGCCCTATGACTAGGTAAACTTACCAAGTCAAGAGAGCATCCTAGCAGTATAGTGGACCCCAAACCCAAAACTCCTGAATGTTATCCCTGAGTACCTGACCCCTAAAACGTACCAGCCACGAAGATTGGGCTACCCAAGATTTTGCCCACAAGTTTCTTGACCAAAGGGTATCCTGGGGACACGATCAAGCATTGCAGGGGTTGCGTAGAAAATCTCCCACGTGAGGAGAAACAGCAGCTCCCCTTGACCTGACAACCCTAAGAACCTTGAAGCCCTATAAGTCACTATGCAACTCCAGCTTCGTCTTCAGTGTCCGCTCCCCTTACATTTGACTCCCCGTCATTAGAATTATTTAGGCCCTTTATACCCCAAACCCTCCACCCCCAACCCTAAAAACCATCTCCACTAAGGCCTGTCTGCGGGCACCCTCTGTCACACTCTTGGCTGGCAATGGCGCACCATCAAAGACAAGCAAAGGCTCCTCGATACCACAGGTGCTACCGCTTGAAGCTATTCAAGGGCAACCTTGTTGAGGGTGGTATAGGGTGGAATCAGGGATAAAAACCAAACACGGAGATTACGGTTGATACTCAACATCGCAAGGTACTCAGTGTCATGCAGAACCTCTTATATCCACCATAAATTCCCTAGCGTCTATAAGTTGAATTGAAGGATGTGGGTGGACGTCTTAGGATCCAGCACTGGGGGCTGGGTTAATAACTTGAGAGCGTGCAGGACTCAGGTGTTCAGGCTTGCAGGCTTGGGTTCAGAACTAGTTTTTTGCTGAGAACGAGACTTTGGGCATATTTCCATTCCTTCTCAGATTGAAGCCAGAGTTTTGGACCCAACGGCTAGAAAAAACACGCCCCACAACTTTTAACTCTTGTCATTGGCTGAGACCAAGTTAAAGGGCGGTGGGTCTTAATCATAGTTTTGCGACTAGCACATCTTCTGCAGAAAGCCATGGGCATTAGGATATATTCCAAAATAGGGGCAGACCCTCAGGAACCGGCGTAGGCCCCTGTGCCAGCACCCCGAAACCTTAAACCCTAAAGCCACCATGCCATACCTCCCCATCCAGGAGGGCCGTACTCGTTAAAGGCCCAAAACCCGTTCCCCTAACATGTTAGCCCCTAGCTACCTGATAACGTCAATGTAGAGGGGTGGAGAGTTGGGGTTAATATGTCGGGGGCACCAGAACGGCCCCGCTAAGAACAAGTATTCTTTTAATATATAATGGCGCTACATTGGGCGGGTCATTGTCAGGACAATCCCTATAAACCACTATATACAGTTTCCATTTCATTTTTCCGTTTTTTTTTCCCATTTGATTCTCGGTTATCCCTAAACCCGAAATCCTAAAGCTTGAGCCAGGTTCTACCCTAAACCCTAAATATTCTACCCTAAATATTCTACCCTAAACCCTAAACATTCTACCCTAAACCCTAAACATTCTACACCGAACCCTAAACAAGGGGAGCCATTATAGCTTGACACCGTCTCCTAAGCTGCAACTTTCGACCTAACATTCTCGTGCAAAGGCCACTTGCTTAGGATCAACTACAGGAGTGGAGTTTCCAAGGTGGTCTACTTTGGTTTTAGGGTTTAGGCGGCACAAAAGCGTAAGACACATGCATCTTTCTTAGGGTCTTCCCGGCAACAGATCTTGGTCTAGACTCATCCACACACTGATTGGAAACTGCAAGGATTACATCGGAAAGGGCTAGGTGCGATCAGCAGAATATGGAGAACATTCCATCTGAACACATCCTGAACCCCAACCGGCCTTAAGGTTTTACATTATCCTGAACCCAAAAACGGATTTCTCCGTACCACGAAACCCAGACTAGGACCCAAGACTCGGTGCTGCAAAATGGATGGGAAAAACTTATTGGTACTTCCAGGAGAGTGAAGCAAAGAATACATGGAATAGCTTAGGGCTCAGGGTTTAGGGGAGGTTGTGAACCCCTGTGCCCTAAACCCTAAATGAACGGATAGTTGTGGGAATTCATGGGCATCCATGGTCCCATTCCCGCTAGCACCAGTATGGCAAGTGCAGGCCGACGCATACAATACTCAGAAGCTGTTAGCTTGGCAAACCAAACGCTAAAATTTCAAAATGACCTCCACAAAACTCAAGGGGCCCTTCGCCTGATGAGGGAGTGCTGAACATATCGGTCCTATTGGGCATCTGCAGGAAGCGAAGTACAGTCTTTAGGTCTAAAAAAGGGATCCTTGGTTCAACTCTCATGTCTCTGTACCACCAAAGCCAACAATTTGCTGTAGGATCTTCCATGTCTGTGCGCGAAATCACACAAAGCTAGATACAGCCCTGGTGTGCTCTGCAAAAATCCGTGTGCAGTGTGAACCCTTGGGATGCCTTCCTAAGGGATCTCAAGCAAGTGACCCCCCTCCCCCCAAAAATATTCTCACTACTACATCGAGAAATCTGGGGCAAAGCGGGGAGGTTCCATTTTATCGGATCCCAAATGCGAAAAGGTTTCCATTATCTTTTCCAGTGCCCCTGTATGACCCCTGTTTCACCCCATCTTTTGGGGATCCTATGTGAGCTGTAGTCTAAAACTCCTAGTATCCCCCTTAATAACCCCTATATAATCCCCTTTAGTAACCCCGGGCCCTAAACCCTAAACTCTAAACCACAGGCTCACTCTCAAATCATCAGGGACATCTTTACGAATTAGGGCTACAATACATTAGCTGTCCAAAGGTGCAGGATTTCCATCAAATATACTCGCCAGTTAATAGGCAGTTGTAAGTGGTTGTAGAAGTGCCCTAATTTAGGTTATAAACCTATTTCTTCGAGGCGGAAGTCCACTTCGAAGTACCCACGAGCCTCAAGTGACACCTACTGGGCCGACTAGAAAGCCAAGGAGCAGCGCCCACGGCGCGAAAAATGTCCACAAGCTCTCGGAGAGGTCTCAAGGGTTGTCGAGGATTGGGTAATATTATGGTAGGGATAATGGAAAAGAAAATGGAAACTACTATGTAGGGTTTAGGGTTTCCCAATAAGGGTTGTCGAGGATTGGGCTTTTGAGCTAAGACTTATTATCAAATCTTAATATTACTATTACCATGATTGTCACTGTTAGTGGTATTTTTGTTGCTGTTATCATTAGGGTTTAAGGTAGGTTTCAAGGTTTAGGTGAGGTTCAGGGTTTCAAGGCTTTCTTTGCACAAACCAAGCATGGTAGTCCGAAAAGGAGCCCTACCAAGACCACTGCCCTTTCAAAGGTGGCTCTATGGGCCTATGGGCTTCCATGTGGGTTTGGCTTAGTGAGGGTTGGAAGGCTTCAATTTCACGGCTTATCCCAGTTCAGGGTTCAGTGGTAATTCGCAGTGGGGAAGAGCTAGTTTGATTACTCATGATGTTTGCGATAATGGTAAGAAACATGGTCCTGAATCATTTCCCCGATCGTACTGGAGACGACACTCAGAAATGTACAGAAGAGCCAGACCCTCATCAGATCATGTGGACTAATAAGGAAGCGGTGTAGGGTTTCGGGTTTAAGCCCCCTCCCCAAAATATACTTGGATGCTCCCTGGGCTCAGGACCCCGTATTATAGGGAATTTAGACCAATACCTATATTGGGGTGCCCTTTTAAGGGAAATGGCCAGTACGTAGACTTACTAAATCAAACAGAGCCGCCAAGCCGGATGGCGAGCAAATATGCGGTTTACATGACACGAATACTACTCTGCCTTGGGTACTGCCACGGCCCCCACCCAGTAGCAGTCTATGAAATTCTTTATTATCAAACGCTATAAGTACATATGTAATTATGCTTGCTGGTGGGGGCAGTACCGTAACTCTACCTTCCTGGGACCCTATCAAAAGGTATCAACTTTAGCTGAGCAGAAAGAAAGCTTAGAACGCTCGACGTGAAATTCTGAATGTCTATAGCCGCGGACTTTGAGTGTCACGCAATGTACAAGATGTTTCTATTTGCTTCATACAGAAGTTGCGCGTGTATGACTCCGAATTAATGTCCTTGCTTCTGCTACCCTGAAAATCCATGACATTTTTCCAACGGTACGGACCCCCCCCTACTAGTAATGAACCCTCCGACCCCGCCAACGACGAAGATTTGGGGTGTTTATGATCATTGAAACAACAGGAATCGGAATCATGTGGAGAAACTTTATGTCTGAACCTGCTCCGGAACTGTCCCCAAAACCGAATTTTGGAAGCTGCGTATGATTCTCAGGATGCCTTTAGGTGACGGCAGTTATGTCCGGGTCTTTCACTGGCCCTTAGACTCCACCAAAAATCTGAACACAACTCTGCTTAGAAATTTAAGTGTCCGGTATCCAGGGTTTATCCAATGTTAGCCTTTAAGGACATGTTAGGCCTTTTATTACATATATAAAGTCATCCACCGGACCGGTTGGAATCATGATGGCTGAGCCAGTCTGCTACGACTTGCCAGATTTCAAAGAGACTGGGGTGTGGAGACGGTAAGGGCTTCAGGTGCAGGGTTTATGGTTTGCCCCGGACCCAATCCCTCAATCCCTCTCTAAACCCATAAACCTTGACACGATCTTCCTTGGAACCATAGTAGAAATTAGAACGTCAGCTGGTTCTCACCATAACAAACAACAGAACTTTGCTAGTGTATGCAAGGAGCTTCTAGTTCAAGCATGTGACAAAAATCTCAGATGCCCCAAAAGACACAAAACATTGGAGCCTCCCAAGCAGCTCCTGCGCTTTTTCAAATGTTGTGGTGCGCTCAGTTTTTGAAGGTCCATTCTTTATGTCCTTCTGGGTGTCAACCCAAGACTTTAAACCCAGAATACAGCCACGTGGTGTAGGTTTGAGGGTTTAGGGAGCTGCCATTTTCTTTTCCATTACCCCTATACAGCCTGAATCCTAAACCCTAAACCTGAATCCCGCAACCCTACGCTCTAACCCCTAATACCCTCATCCTTCAAACCCTCTGGAAGCCCCTCTACCTCAACCTTGTAGTTGGATCCTTTCATCTCTAAACCCCATAAGAAGAATTGTAATTCCCCTTTTCTTCTATATGAGCCATAGTCTAAACTCCTAGTATCCCCCTTTGATAGCCCCTATAATAGTCCTCTATATAATCCCCTATATAACCCCCTTTTGACTATTGCTCATGTGGCCGATGTTAACCGCAAATCCTTTGGTAGGTCTGGGATGTCACCAACAGGTTTCTGGAAAACCTATTCTATATGGGGCTTTCCCAAAGTTAGCAGGAAGCAGAGCAAACTCTATGTAGACGGAACACTATAGAACCGCACATGCAGACACACTCGCAACTGTCCTGTGGGAGACTTCTCTCGGGTTGCTTCAAGGCAAACCGCACCGACTGCAGCGGCGGGTCAACCGCGCCCGCCGGTTCAACCACGCAGTTCGATCACCCCAGCTCACCAGAACTTTGAGACCGTCGGTGCGAACAACATCTGCTGCCTGGCCGGGTCTGATTTCAAGGTGCTCTGCCCGCTCATCATATACCGAGAGGACGCACTTCATGCCAGGACGAAGGTCCTCCACAGCCAGGACGAAGGTCCTCCACAGCAGAAACCCGAAATCCCAGTACCTGTTTGGGGTCCCTACACCAAAGACTATAGTATTTGGGGTCCCCTATTTTGATTTTGGTCCTCGATTATTAGCGTCACTAAACCTTGAAACCTACACATCCCTATATACTCTTATATCATCTTTACAACTCCTTTAACGGGACCTCTCCCCGAATCCCTAAACCCTCAACCCCAATCCCTTTTGGGTACTACAGGGGCCTAAATAATTACAAATATCATTTCGAGGTCTATTTGAGGTACCATATACTATAATCAGACAAGGAATATCAAACCACAATATAGGTAATTATTCCCAACCCCTTTTGGGTAGTGGCCTGAGGAGCGGCTCCGCGCAACTCTGCGCAATCGGATAAGTCGTTGAGACCTTGTAAAGGCCGAACTGCTTCTTCCTACGGGGTTTTTGGTTTAGGGACTAGGGTTCAAGGATTAGGGGTTAGGGTTTGTCGCTTAGGTTTTGGGTCTATAGAAATAGTATAGGGTTCATGTCCGGAGTTTTGGGCAGAGTTTTTGCATCATGCTCTTGGGCCCTAGACAATTTCTGTTCATTCTGAGCGTGAGGGTTGAGGGCTCAGGGAATTTAGGGTCTTCAGGGCTCAGGTTTAGTGGTTGTTTCAAGGTGAGAGACCCATTCGAACCCCTCTTAGATTTTGTGGGTCCTTGGCCCTAGAACCCTCCATGGTTACACACGGTATCTCCTAATCTCTAAAAACCTAAGCTCTAATCTCCAAACCCTAACATCTAATCTCTAACCCCTTTGCATCATCGAGGCCACCACTACAACAGGATCCAGAGGGCGAGGCCCCATAGGTAGGCATTTCTAGCGTCTTGGAGGATCCAGAAACTAGATGTGGGGGTTTTGCAAAATTAGGGGTACCATAATGGGGGTACGAATGATAAGGACTCGAGTATTTTGAGGTCTATATTGGGATCCCCCATGTTGGGAAACTACCATTTTAGGGTGTAGGGAGATCCCTCCTTGGGGCTCCGAGGAACCACCCATCCAAGTGCACGGACAGCGTGCCTCTAGCATTGGGCTTCATGCGACATTGGCTGAAGATACGCTCCTGCCGCATTCTGCTCAATTGAAGCATGGGGGCTTTAGCTATAAAGCTCCATTGCTGCATTAGCTTAGATTCCTGCAGGATCTCATCGCTTACAGCTGTGGCATCATCGCCCAGCTTCCTAGAAGCCACGAGCGCGCTCTCATCAACGCCTGGAAGTTCTGCTGGATCACGAGGCCTAAGCCCTACACCCTAAAGCTTAAACCGTAAACCCTATCCCCTCTATAGTCCCAAAAAACCCTCAATAGTCCCTATGAAGCTATATGATCCCTATATACTCTCTTCAACCCTTTGGGTTGTCTACTTCAGGGTTCTTCTTGGGTTTCCATGGCATCTCTGGGCCCTGGAACCTTCTCCCCCCCAAAATATGAGCCATTGTCTAAACTCCTAGTATCCCCCTTAATAACCCATATAGTAGTCCCTTATAGAATTAATCCCCTATAAAACCCCCTTTAGGAGTTTAGACTATAGCTCATGTAAGCTGTTTATTCGTAGAAAGGTTTAGGCTGTAGGGCTTTAGGGGCTTAGGTTTAGGTGTTTGGGGCTTAGGGTCTAAACTGCACACCCACTTCCAGGACATCCCTAGTTGAAATTTGCGGGAGGTTGGCAGGCCATTTGGTAAAAAATCTCTCGGCATGCCTGTTGCTTGCAACTGCTTGAAGGTTCGCTAGCATCATCTATAATGGTATTGTAAGGGACTATGGGATCCTATCTGGTTGTAACTGGCGCTTTTCCCTCTAAAGATAGGGCGCTCATTCCTGAAAGCCTGTACCCGTTGTACATCTGAGCTCCAAGCAATTCCTCTAGTCAGCTGTTCAGCGTCAGGGTTCTCGCGCAGAAGGGCCTCTGTAAAAGAATAGGGGTTGGTGGGGTTTTTTGCAGGTTGGTTACAGAATTTCGGCGGCGTCCAAATGGTTCCCCCCCTAAGTGATCGCCTACATTCACAAGTATTTTGCCGATACCAAAGTACATTGCCCAATCCAGACCCCAAAACACTCTAATCCTTACATGGTGACCCCCAAAAGAGCCTCCTTCATTTTGGGAAACCCCCATGTAAGGATCGTGAGGAGGAGACCTGCTCACCCTTCAGGCCACTACAGTATTGAGAGGCTCAAGTTGTGAAGACTCATAGGTTGCGTTCAAAGCCATTGTCTAGGTCTTAAGTTTTGGAGTTTAAGGCGAAGACTCCTTCCACTATTCCACTAATAAGAACGTCTCCCAATGTTGAAGATGCGATTGTATCATGTGCGCAGTATTACTCATGCGGCGGATGCGCAACTTCATTTTTGGGGGTGGGAATTGCTCATTTTTCAGCATCGGCCTCGCCCCTGCGCCTGAAAGAGTACCAGTAATAACTAGAGGTCTATATCAAATAGCTATCCTATACCTTGCTGAAGCAGGGAGGCTGGGACCATAATATTGCCAGCCAGTCAGGCCTCTACAGTACCCTAAACCCGAAGCCCCCCTTTGGTCCCCTAGACCCTAAATCCGATACCCTAAACCAGACCTACAGCTTCCAATCCTAAATTGAGAGGTGCCGAAGTGCAGAAAGGGAAAGGTAGGCCAGGCACATGCTCTCCCAAAACAGCCTTTGGGGGTTTCGAAAACAGGAGGGGTCCTTTCTAGGGGATTATACATAATGAGGATGGGTATGTAAGCCAGCCCCTTCTTTTGGACATGTCCATCTATCTGGGGCTTATGCATGAAAGAGTTCCTACAACCCCTCAAACCAAACTGGTAACTCCTGTACCTTCCTGTTTGGCTTTAGATTTCCTCCTAGGACGTTGGTTTGAAGCAGGCAGTATTTGCCTGCATGAACTCACAACCCTACACCCCTAACAGGTAGATTTTAACTTCCCACAGTTGAAAAAGAGGACAGGTGTTGTTGTAAGCCGCTTGTTGGAACGTCACTTGTTTGGAAGGTATGGGCTTGGCATCCCATTCCATGAGCTCCAAATTGCAAAGCACCAATGCAGGGGCTCAGGTAACCCAGACCCAAACCCTAGGACAATCTAAAAAGTAGAACCCCCCAGCTGCTATGTCGAAACCCCTTCCTGATCACAAGTGGTTACCAGCCAAAGGTGCCACCTTAAACAACAATAAACTATCAGAAGAAGTACAGTTGGGCTGTGTCCTGCTGCTTTCTTGGAGCCCGAGATTCTACCCCCCAAGCATTAACTTGAAACCTCAAATTTTGAGCCCGAAGCCACGAATCCTGAAGCCTAAGCCCTAAGCCCTAGATCCTACACCCTAAGCCCAAAACCCTACACCTTAAGCCCTAAAGCCTAAACCCTCAACCTCAGGAGAAAGCCGTGCCTCAACGTAGCCCAACTTGCCCCGATGCAGCCAGCAGTAGGCATCCTTGGCTTGGGTTTGGGGTCTAGGGTTGCGGGTCTAGTAGAGTTTCAGATGTAGGGTTCAGGGTTAAGGGTTTCAGATTCAGGGTTTAAGGCTTAGAGCTAAGGATTTAAGTTTTTTTGAATTGAGGGTTCGAATCCTTTTTAGAGGTCCGTATGCTTAGTATGCTGTATCTTGGGAGATAGTTTCTGAAAGTACCCTGGTTTAAGGAATGCCCTTGCAGGTATCCTTGCTGTTGCTAGTAGGGAATGTGGGAATAGATTTTATACGGGTTACATAGGGATTAACTTCTTTATACCCTACCAGCAACCAGTACGTAAAACATGTCTCGAAAACGAATTGTCGTGGCTAAACCTCTACAGTAGCAAGGACCTTGCAAAGGCAAAGCAAAGTTGAGAAAGGCGTATTCAATCGGGACCTGGGATATGCATCATGCTTAACTGAACATTGTTTGGTTGTTGAACTTTGTAAGACCATGCTTTTCTTAGAAAAAATATACCCCAACTGCGGACATAATCTTAGGCAATGACAATATACCCAAATACACTACTAAACTGGGATGGTGTGGGCTCAGTGTAAGCTCAGTTAGGGTGTCGGGATGGCGTTTGCATCATAGCCTGCTAGCTCCTATTTCGAGTAGGGGGTTCCTCAGTTCTACACTAAGCCTTAAACCCGACCTACATCCCAGAACCCTAACGCCTAAAGACCCTACACCCCTGAACCCTAGAGCCTGAAACGTTCCTCTCTCCTCTCAAAAATGCAGCTTGCTCGAGCTCAGTTATGTTTTGTAAATTCTGAATGCTCGAAAGTTGCTGTGAGGGTCGGTGGACTGGTCCATACCACCTGGAGCCAAGCCTATTTCATGTGGATCTATCGAAAGAATCATAATTATAGTAATCATCATAACAGTAGCATCAATAATGATAGGTGTGATAATTGTAATGCAAAAGCCTTCTCCCAACAACCTCAAGTCGGCATCAAGTTTTCAAGTTAACTTCAAGCAATCTCCACTTGCAAAACTACAAGAACTCCAACGTCATAGCACGAACCAGTCCCAATCATCGCTTCGAACACTCTAAAAATGGGCCCCACGTATAGGCCCTGAATCTTGGGGTCCCCATACACCGTATCACTATGTATTGATATACATGCCCTTAACAGGCACACTAAATTCAGGGCTCATACTTCCAGCCTTATTAAGCTTTTGCCTTGGTTTGAAAACCAACTTTCCTGAATCCTGAACCCTAGAGCCTGATCCCTAAATTCTGAACCCTGTACCCTAAACGCTAAGCCTTTCCTGTCTGAAGCCCAGGCTCCACGCCCACGTTGAGCCCGCGGTACTCCGAGATGTGTACGGGTCGTTGCACCTGACTGTTGGCAGTTGCTTCCTTCAAAAGGCTTAGGCTTTAGGGTTTAGGGTTTTAAGGTTTAGTGTGGGTTTGGGATTTAGGGATGTAGGACCGTAGGGATTCTAGGATTGTACAGGATTTGGGAAATCAGTATGAAGGGATTAGAACCCCGAATGATGGGTTGCCAGGGTTAGCGGTTAGCCCCAAGCCCTGAAAACCCTAAACCCCAAGACCCTAAACGTGCTTCTTATATGATCTAGAGGTTTGAAGATCAATCTTGAGAGTGGGTTTAGGGTGTAGGGTTTAGGGTCTAGAAACGTCTCCCGAGCTGGAATATATTCCCTACATACCCCCCCATAAAGCCCCTTATCTGTAACAGTTTCCATGTCATTTTCCATGTTCTTCTTTCACTCGGTGCTCCATTATTTAGGCAGGGAGCTGCGGCTGAAGAGCTCGGGATTTACCATTAGGGTCTAAGGTTCAGGGTCTAGGGTCTAGGGTTTAGGGTTCAGGGCATAACATGGATAATGGGAAAGAAAATGGAAACGACTATTTCGGGTTATATTGGGATAATATTGGGCTTATATAGGGATAATGGGAAAGAGAATGGAAACTACCATTTAGGGTCTAGGGTTTAGGGTGTAGGGTCTAGGGCATAAGTAACTACCACTTCGAGAAGCCCCTTTATGGACCGGAGCTGGCGGTTTACAATCTCCAGGGTCCACATTGTAAGGCCCTGTGAAATTTAGTAATTTCTTAAACAGCTTCGGGACCCAATTGGGGGATATATGGTGATTGTCAAGGGAATATGGTGCTTCTCTTTGGACTATAAGGATATATAAGGGATACTTGTGTTGTGAGAAGCACCCGATGCCATTGCTACCCCAAAGCCTTGGATCCCTAAAGACTCCCGAAGGGATTTTTGGGAGATCCCAAAAACCTCTAAACACGGTGTAGGGTTCATGGTTGCATATCCCTCTATAGCATACACCCCCTGTCAAGGGACCTCTAACTGGGGGTTCCTTTTGTTGAGTCGGGATCCTGCGCTGTACAACAATGGGCCTACATGATTACCAAGAATGGAGATACACGTGCACAAGAATATGGATATTTAAACGAAAGCTGAGCTTGAATGGGGTTTGCAGCCATCCTCCTCGAAAACCTCAATATCATGTTGCGGTATTTGGCCAGCCTAAACTAGAATCAAATAAGGAACCTTGGCGCTAGTGTTGGTAGTTTTCCAGGCTTCTACAATGGTCGGCCCCAAGGTGAACCTCCTTTTACGGACTCCCGCAAAATAGGTTCCTGTTCTTTGGAACGGGCCACGTGGTGTTGTTATAGATAATGTTAAGTACTCCAACAGCAGAGGATAAGGAGTTCGGGTTGGGTACTGCCCCCCACCCTGTAACAGTCTTTTTTAGGGTCTTATGAAGGGCTCTATATATGTACATATGCATCGCTATATTCTGGATATTATCCAACTGTTACAGAATGGGGCAGTACACAAAGTTTGGATCTTAACCCTGGTGTTTTGGCGGTTGTCTTCAGATACCCTTTCCTGGTTTCTCTGTGTCTTGGCATGCAGACCTGCTCGGCAGTTTCTAAAGAAGGCGGGTCCCAGGAACCTAGGGATATATATGGATTCAAAAGAGAGGTCCTGCAGGGGAGTCTATATGGCAGTTTCCCTATTTAGTAGGACCCCACTATACCATAATCCCTAGAATGGGGACCCCTAAAACGGTACCCCTTGTTTGAGACACCCCTATGTGGATGATTTTGAGAAACTCTCACTGACGAATTCCCCCAAAAAGGCAAGCCCCAATCCCTACACCGTAAACCCGGCCCTAAACTCTAAAATTACATGGACATTTGCTGTATAAAGGTGCTTATAAGGCTTAAGCGTCAAACGCATGGCCTGGTTTCTGGGCTACCCTAAATATAAGGGCCTCAGCATGCCAGTGACAAGGGACCATAAACTTGGCGAACTAGTTGTCCAAGCTAGATGCAAAATCTCCGTGAACATTGTTTACCATCAGCCTTCATCAAACTGCAACTAGCGTTCCCCACGCTCAGTCCCCAACAATCCAACGTAGAAATATAAGGCGTTTTTTGAACCCAAAGCTCCAGATCTGATAGATTTGGGGCAGGCGCATCGCTGAGGGCTTTCAGCAGCCCAGGTACACCCATGGCGATCGATCCACCAGCGAAGGCATCAATCGATTCAACATCTACGTTGCAGGTTTGCAGAGAAACTCTGGCTCTTCAATATAAGGTCATGTAGGGGTTACAAAGGGTGGCGGGCCTGTATGGCTAGTTAATGATGCGAACGCCTTGGCAATGACAATTCATCGCTGAGCCCTGCAACTTAATGTTAAGTCTAAGGAGTCCGTATAACGAGGACTATACTAGAATGGAGTCTAGTTGGGATCCCTTTAGAAAATGTGGAAGCCCGTATTTCTTTGGCGGAGGATATCGGTTCTCTAGCCCTTTTGTGCCATGTGGGCATAGGGGCCATGACTTGAGAAAGGGCAATGCTCTCCTCTCTGCGAAGCAGCTGTAGGCCCGAGACCGGACAGGCAGTGATACCCTGGATCATGCAAATACCCCGAAATACTATACTCCTCTAAGGGCTGTCAAAAAAGATAATCTTTGGCATTTTGGAAACCCCTATCAAGGATTGGCTGGCCAAAATTCTGGGGGAGTCGCATGCAGAACCCCTAGAAAACAATCTGATTCCAGGCGGGCATACAAGGACATGACCATCTTACGAGCTGTCTTCCTCATCTAATTTTTTGCTGTGGAGCTTGTGTTGAAGCCCAAATACCACTATGAAGTACCCCCACCAATCAATTTCATCATATGTTCCCTTCAGGAAATCGGATAGATATGTGGACATAGTTGATATCAGAATGTCGGTCGGTGTTCTATGTCAGGGAGATTGGGTTACCTGACCTTGCAAATATAACCTACACCCTAAACCCTTAAACCCTAGAAGCTGAACTCCAAGCCGCTGAGCTCAATACCCCGAACCTTTCTCGGAGGGTCAGAGGGACTTAGTAATGAGGGTAGCAATCCCTATAATCCATAAATATAGTAACCCCAATATAAACCCAATATCCCAATATAACCCTAATATCCCAATATAACCCCAACATAACCCTAACATCCCAATACAACCCCAATATCCCAATAAAACCCCAATATAAACCCAATGGGTTTAGGGTTTACCCTAGTCATCCCAAGGGTTGACGTATTTACTACATCCCCTGGATTTAGGGTTTAGGGTTTAGGGGTTTAGGGTGCCCTCCAGGTTATCCTAAAGTAATGCCTGTACCCTTCGCCTCTTCCTACTATACTAACATGTGCGACTACAAAAGCACATACATTGCACAAGCCACTGGCAAACCACTGAACACCACAAGGGTAGGTTTGGGGGCCCTATAAAAATGGAAGTCCTATAGCTTTAAAGGACTATATAGGGATTGAGGCTGGATTTTTTTTTCTCAAACCTACCCTTGACAAGTGGAACCCAACATCACACAACTTAGAGAATGCATCTCAAAGTACTTAGATTCTGGAGGGCTAGATTAGACATATGTCCATCATCTACAGACTACTGTGCTCCGGAGCTCTTGGAGGATCGATCCAAAAAATGGAGCCGGATAATGATCCCCCGGGTTCCTACATTTTGGAATTTGCGGGGTTCCTCCTTTTTGGATCCTTCAGGGGGTCTGGGAACACACGGGGGTCTCAGGCAAAAATCTTGTTCCCCTTCAGAAGGGGAACAGTTCATCCTGAACTTACGAGGCAAGGTTTGGTGGCTTAATAAAAATTGATTTCTTTTGGCACTAAAGGGAACATATAGGCATTATCCCTGAAACCTAAACCCTAAAGGCAATAAAAACTAAATAGCTCAAACCTACCTCTCTTTCGGGTTGCGGGATTGGGACTTAGGCTTGAGGCTCCCCAAGCACTCATGGTTTAGGGTTTAGCAGCATCATCATTATACAACCTGTGGCTGCGTTCCTCCCACATGCCGGACAGGAATATCTTTTTTAGAAGTCCAAGGCAGAAGTTTAAGCCTATGTAAGACACACCTACCTCAACAGACATCTTCTTCATTCCCGCAAAATATCCCATGACGACCGTTTTTAGTTTAAGGATTAGATCTAGCCCCTGACGCTGGTTGTTATCAGGTCAGGAAGAAGTGGAAGAGAAAATGGAAGCTACCATTTGATCTAGGGTTCAGGTTTTAACCCTTCCGCCTATGGGTCGTACTAAGCACACAGGATCCCAGCGTATGTGGCCTCTAGTCGGATGGTCTTCAGAGCATAGATTTCGCCTGCGGAGTCCTTGCAAGATTGGTTTGCTGTTTTGGAACTTAATATTAAGTTACCATAGCATGGAAATGTAATAGACACTCTGCTTCCGCATGGCACATTGATTAGTTATCTTAATTTCTTCAAGAGCAACCTCGACGACAAACATCCTCAAAAGAAAGCAAACATCCTGCTGCCAGTAGAAGGTGTAGCTTGGTGGGCCGAAAGTGATGGGGGGAAATCAGCATACAGGATCCCAAGTACACTGAGCACTAGTAGGACTGCTGCCTGCTTGACAGGCTTGATTGACCTCAATTTTACAAAGTGTCAAAAGGTTTGCTGGGAGAGGTGCTCACAAAGGCATTCTACAACATCAGGAACTACTGGCAGCCCACGTGCCACTGCTAAGAAGCACTTTGACTTTTGGCTGCCATGTTACACCAGTACCTACAATGGAGTGAGGGAGCAGCCCCACAAAGTCAGGTACTACATGCCTGCGTGTGTTAAGATATACAGGGGTTTGGGATTCGAGGCTTAAGGTCAAAAGCCAAAACCAAAACCCTAAACCCTTCATGGGCTAGAGGATGAGCCAGTTTTCATGGATGCATGGGACCCCTTTTTGCATGCAGCCCCAAAATATTGGGGCCCTCATGAGAAATCTGAGTCATGCACCAGAAGCCTTCAAGAATGTAGATTTCA